GAGAGAGTGATAAGCCGCAAGGTGGGAGGTGTCGATCATCGCGATGGTCAATTACACCTGTCCATCAAGTGGCGCCTCAGGTGTCAGAGGTAAAAGGCCACTGGTCATCTGAGGTGAGCGATTCAATCAGCTGAGATGGTCATGTGAGTTGAGTGTGTGTGTGTGTGTGTGTGTGTGTGTGGAAAAATTCGGTGGAAAACCGAACAGATACCTTGGCAGCACCACTCCCTCATCCCAGTGTTCTGCGTTCTTGGTATAGTACTGTAGATGCAGAACCTGTGTTTTCAGAGGAGTGTTTTAATACTTTAAAAGTCAAAAATATCGTCGTCAATGTAAGCGCCTCATTTGTGCGTTGTTAATTGATGAAATGGGGATTAAATCTGGTGTGCAGCGCTTGAGAAACGGTAAAATTCGTGGATACGTAGATATTGGTGTTGGCGCAGCTGGAAAACACGAATTTTCAGTCGCGAAGAATGCGTTAGTTTTTCTTGTCGTCTCCCTCAATGAATCGTGGAAACTTCCCGTGGCTTTTTTTCTTATCGACGGTATATCTTCTCAAATGCGAGCAAATCTCATTAAAGACTGCTTAGTTAGATTGGAGAATGTAAGGGTTGACGTTGCTTTGTTGACTTTGGACGGTCCCGCCGAACATTTTGCTACACTTCATCAACTTGGTGCGGTTATCACCATGGACACGAATGCCAAGCCGTATTTCCCTCATCCTGTTCAAGGACAACCCAATGTTCATGTGGTGGTTGATCCAGCTCATGATCTGAAGAATGTTCGTAATACTTTAGGGGATTGGAAAGTTCTTCTAGATGATGAACACAATAAGATTGAGTGGAGCTACATCGAGGCATTAGCTTTACTTCAACAGGATGAAGGATTACGACTGGGGAATAAATTACGTTCAACGCACATTGAATATCAAAAAATGAAGATGAAAGTGTACTTAGCTGCACAAACATTGAGCTCGAGTGTTGCAGACTCGATTGAACTCTGTTGGAATGTTCTGCGTCTACCTCAATTCAAAGGCTGCGAGGCAACAGTAAAGTTTATACGTAAAGTGGATTGAATTTTCGATTTATTAAATATTCGTAATCCGTGGGGGAAGGGTTTTAAGAGTAGTTCACGAGTGGACAATGAGTATATTTGGCGCGAGCGTATCTTAGAAGCTATCCAGTATTTAGCAGGGTTAAAATTAACGGGCCAATCTCCAATCTTCCAAAGTAGGCGGAAAACGGGTTTCATCGGGCTTTATACTGCAGTGCTCTCGTCTATCGCATTATTTGATAAATATGTAAAACCAGAGGACGCCGCCATGAAATTTCTATTGACGTACAAAGTGAATCAGGATCATCTTGAGTTACTTTTTGGGGCGATACGAGGTCGAAGTGGTTGGTGTCCCAATCCAACTGCCGCGCAATTCATCTCCGCGTACAAAAGACTCCTCGTTCGCCACGATATTCAAATAACTACCGGAAATTCTCGCCTCACAGATCGAACAAAAATTCTTAACGTTTCATCCAAAACAACCACGCGAATCGCGAGAATGGATCGGTACGATGTTAACATCTTTAATGAAATTGAAAATCGTGCAGTGGAACAGAAGTTTGGGTTGGATAGCAATCATTCTGTCGACAAAAGAGACATCATTGGAGAGTTGGATGACTTCCTGGACTTTGCATGGGCAGTGCCAAGTGCTCTGACAGATTTCACGATGAACTGCGTTAGTTATATTGCTGGCTATATTGCCAGAAAAATATCTTACAGAGTGAAGTGTCCTGAATGTGTAACAGGCTGTCAGGTGCCTTCACCGAGCATGCCAAGTGCAGGAAATCCCACTTCTTTGATTCTCCAAAAGTCGAGAGGTGGCTTGATCGTGCCCGGACAGTGTCATTGTAATTTGTTCTAGTGCCGAGACATTATTCAGACGCGCGTATAATTCTAATATGGGTTGGCCTCCTATCGAAGAAAATTTTCCAGCTGTCCTTGCTAATACTGCGTATCGCGAATTGTTATCCAGAAAGCAGCTTTTCCCAGATCTTGATGGCCATTTTACTGATTCTTTCACCTTAGAGAACTGCATGAATTATCTCTGCATTTTAACAAAACAAATTTTAATCCATTATATCGAAATTCGTATGTATGCTGCAATTAAAGAGTTATCCATTTCAATCACCAGAACCAAAATTATAAATTTTTTAACAAGAGAAATTGTTTGGGCTCATCAATAGTGTTTTCTCTCTTCATTGCGCTATCTCTTCCGACTCTTCCGAATTTTTTTACGGCCATATCGAACTGTGATAATTTTTATTTAAGGAAATTCTTTCTCCTATTTGAGTTACGAGTTACTCTGAACAATGGAAAATATTTCTAATTTTTGTCATGTATCCATACATTTTCTTTTTTTTTTGTATTCGGGATAATTTCAACTTTTTCCATTATGCCCAGAAGCTCCTAACTAAAGTTGGAGGGAGAAAGTTTCTTGCATGAAAAAATATTAAATTTCGCGTATTTCATATTTATTTTATCTTGTTTTTTTAATACAATATTTCATAATATCTCTCGTATGTTATTTTATGACATGTTATTCTATGATATATTTTATTAAGTTATGGCTGTTGTTATACTTGATTCCAATAGTTGGTTGTGCTTGGCTGTGAACAATTATATTGCCATCTTCTATTCAAGGGGGAGGTGGGGTAAAAATAGTCACTGCGATAGAATTTGACTTGTCCTTGCCTAATTTGCCCTATTTCTTCCCTGGATTTTTTACTTCAATATAATAATTCTTGAATTTGAATTACTAATGTGCGATTAATCACTTTTTTTACGATCAATAATGGGATTGGTGATTGCAAACTGAGACCTCCTTTACTGTAAGAAGCAGTTAACTTTTCCACATGTATAACTTTTTAAATGTATTGAATAAATCTTCATATTTAAAAATTCTGTATCATCTTTTCATGATTGGTCGTTCCGCTCATATTGTAATCAGCTCAAATTGAACTAAATACTCATTTCCTTTTATCTTTTCCTATGCAGATCCCGTACCAGGAAATACATTGAAAGTTCAAATGACTCACTTCACGCTATTTTTGATGATTTGTATCTCGTGGAAATTTACCCAGAAACACTCCGGCTACTCTTGATAAACATGCTTCTCCCCTTCCACTGACAACTGCGCTGAACATGCGCACTTGATAGAACTTTAGTTCCCGGACTACTAATGGGAGGCGCTGATTGACTTTCAAATCGGCCTCACCCAGAGGCATAGGGATAGTCTATCCAGTTATATAGAGATCAGTGATTTTCATCCTATATTGATAAATCAATTAGCTGATGTGACTGCCACTATTGTATCGCCTGCCATATTGTGGCAGGTTAATCTCTCTCATTGCCATATCAACCGTTTCCAAGTGTATACGCGTATTTCGACGAACTGCTCTGATTTTCGTGTGCATCGAAAAATTAATTCATCACTTCTCGGAACCACTCGATTAAATATCTTGTGGCCCGCTCATTTATTGTGACTCACATCGTGCCCAGCTCAGTGGCATTATTATTAATTAATAAATTGACTTTTGGTGACATTATTAAAAACCGCGTGCAGTGATTTGTTGGCCTTCTCAACGCTTTCCGAAAATCCGTCCACATCTCACCCATCCGCTCAATATTCGCACTAAACCAGGCCTCTCATTCAACATATTTCCAATTCTTTGTGTTTTTTTTTGGAGCGAAATGCACCACATCATGGTTGTAAACGCCTTCATCAAGGTGCTTAAACACGCTTTTTTAGTGCCGGTGAAAATGATGTGGTGATGGATCTGGAGATTTCACTGGGGTAGACAGGGCTGAGTTATTCACTCAGGAAGAACTTGGTACCTCACTGGTTTTATATTACCAGTCGTAGAAAAAATGCCTCTGCTGTACACTCGGGATGAGGTCAGCTGTACGGTGAGTGATTTACCAGGTCTGTGCTGGCTTGGCGAAAAAAATTCCCTGAGCTGTACACTCGAATCGGGATGAAGCCTATTTCGACCGCAAGAGCTGGTTCCGCAGAGTTGTCTGCTTTTTGGAGAGTCAACTGAACTACAGGGTGAATACCACTCAATGAATAATTTCGAGAGCCGGGCCAATTTCAGTTAAATCGGCAGCGATGATCCAACGCGATGAGAAGAGTTGAGCTGCACGCCCAAGCTATGCGTCAGTCGTGATGAAACGGGATGGTCTTGCGGAGTTATTTCCCAACAGACGAATTTCAAACGGTCAACTTTAAGAATGAACAGGGCCCTTCGTTGAAAACCAAGAGTCGAAATTTTACTTTGGACTCGTCGACTAGAATTAAAGTTGCACACTCGATCAGGTGTTTCATGAGAAGCTAGCTGTGCGATCGGACTAGGACCAGTGGTGACCTCAGAGGGCCGTTCTGTAGAGTTATTCCCTTGTAGACGCTTTTTGAAGAGTTAGCAGGGTGGTGAGTACGGTACCAGTTGATGATTTTGAGCCGAAGATTCAATGTAGACTGACTGATTTGGCGAAAGGCCGCCCTTTATGTACAACAATTGATTGCCTTCAACTGTTGGCGTTTTAATATTTCGTCATCCAACGTTTTTTTCAGCTGTGGTGGGAGGCACCTTCATATGTTTGACAATGTATTCAGAAGGGATGTTTCTGAACGGTGTATCCTGACCTGGTATCCCCCCCCCCCCCCCCTTATTTTCCCTGGTGCGGGAGAAGTTTTTGAGAAAAAGGCGGGGTGACCGCGTATTTGCCTCTCTCTAATTAATGTTTTTCGAATGTCAGAAGTGGCATGTTTGCGCATTTTGCGGCGATTCCTGGAAGCTATTTTATAACTTTCGTTGGATATGGGGTGCAGGTCACATCATGGTTCCGGCTAATCCACTGTAACCAATGGACGGAGGCACTCGGAGCAGATATACCGCTATTGGCCTACCATTTCCTTTATCGATATCGGTGAAGCCGTGGTTGAGGTTCTCCATTTTTAGGTTGCCGACATTTCCAATTCGTTGATACAGCTCCCATCTGCGGTTACCCTTGGAGGGTTGTTTAAATGGAAGCTCGGGAGCACGGACTATAAAAATCTATTAGATCTATTATTCGGAATACAATATTGCGTGAAGCTCAGCATAGCCAGAGTGGTAGTCACACTGTGCATTAAAAAGGGTGCAGCTAGGCAGCTATCCGCGTGCGCTCCCTCAAAATGAAAATAATCTTACCGTCGAAAAATTCAATCTCATTTCCACGATTTCAACTTGGACAATTCTTAGCTATTCCGGGGGTAATTGGTAAAACAGTATGGTGCCTGTAATTGATTATTTCTTAGTCACCTTCATATTGAATAATTTCATTAGAATTTGAATACAAAATATGAGATGTCAGTTCTTTAAAATTTAATCAGTTCATTATTAATGAGATCACATCTTTTTTAATCTGTGAATATTTTACAGTTACCTTGGCTCGGTCACTCTCTGCAGCTAATTATTTCGATGTTTTTCTGCAGTAATTATCTATTTTCATGGTCAATTGAGAATGGCTGAATTTTCAAATGTTTAAGAATGGGATCGACATAATGAAAACAAGTCAACAAGACATGAAATGATGAAATTCAAATTTTCCTTTTCCGTGCTTTTCTTAGATGGCAAATCTTTCGAATTTGAGTAAGACCGTCACGTGCAGAGCATTTCATTCCTGAAAGACGTAAAATGCAATTAAATTGTGTAAATACTGCTTGGGAATGGTCGACCACTATGAACAAAAATTTTACAATCTTTTTATCAGCGTTTTTCAATTCATTTGCTGGCGAAATATTCAAGTCGGAGTGATTTCTCAAACAGAATTTTATGCAAAAGTTGATATACAGGGTGTCCCAGAAGTACATGCTAATTCTTTACCAGCATGTACAGGGGCTGATTCTGAGCCGAAAAGTCCTTTTCCACTTTTGGATCAGAAGCACCCCTTGGAGATATTGGGGTAAATAGGATAAACTTTGTTTCATATTCAAGAATAAACATTATGGAGAAAAAATTTTTTTTTTCATCAATTGGATTA